TCCTCCTCCTCCTCTATCATCCTCCTCCTCTTCTTCTCCTCTCTCCTCCTCCTCTCTCCTTCTCCCCCTCCTCCTCCTCCTCCTCCTCCTCCTCCTCCTCCCCTATCCTCCTCCTCGTTCTTCTCCCTCCTCCTCCTCCTCCTCCTCTTGCTCCTTCCCCTGCCCATCCTTTATCTCCCTCAAACAGTCCTGCATCCCCCTCCACCACCAGTATCTTTCCTCTTCTCTCATGCCATCAGTCCTCTGTCCCTCCCGCTCCCCCTCTCCTCCAATCATCTCCCCTCCTCGCAGGGTCACCGGAAAGCAGCCGCGTCGTCTGCCTGCCCGTAGCATCTCGTCTCCTCCTCCTCCACCTCTACCTCTCCTGCGCATCGGAAGCGCATCGGCAGCCATGGTGCGTGAGCGACGGCGCGACAGCAGAAGTCATCTTCATCTCTCGTCAGACTCCTCCACCTTCCACCTCCCTCCTCCCTCCTCCCTCCTCCCTCCTCCCTCCTCCCTCCTCCCTCCTCCCTCATCTCACCGTCTCTCGCACAGGCGCGATTCTCCTCCTGCTCGTTAAGAAACGTCCTTCGAACTACTCGTATCGTTCCTCCCCTGCTCCCCTCCAAGACCCTCCAGCACTCGTCCAATAGATCCTGCGTTCCAACTTACTCCTCCTCCCCATCCTCCTCCCTCTCCCTCTCCCTCTCCTCCCTCCTCCCTCCCTCCTCCCTCCTCCTCCTCCTCCTCCTCCTCCTCCTCCTCCGTCCTCCCTCCTCCCTCCTCCTCCTCGCCACGGCCTCCTGCTCCTGCTCCTACCGCCCTTGTCCTGATCCTCTCCTTTAGATCGACGTCGGATTTCACATCGACGCCAACGGCATCCTGTTCGTCACTGCGCAGGTGAGTGAGACAAGAGTGTAAGGAGGAGGAGGAGGAGGAGGAGGAGGATCGAGAGGGGGAGGGGAAAGGGGGAGGAGGAGGAGGAGCAGGAAACACACAACGGTCGATGGTCCGGAGATTTTGACCTCAACTCACTGAGCTTTAGGATCTTGGAACGAAGAAGAAGGAGAGCATCACTATCAGCAACAGCAAGGCAGAACAGCTCCTCCCCTTCCCCCTCCTCGTTCTCCTCGTTCTCCT